AGTCGTAGTAGTAGTAAAACTTGTAGTAGTAATATAAGTAGTAATGTAGTAGTAGTATAAGTAGCAGTAATTTGAATTGTAGTGGCTTTAGCAGTGGAAGTAGTGTAGTAGTAGGAGTAATAACAGTAGTAGTAGTAGTCGAAGTAGTAGCAGTAGAAATTGTAGTAGTAGCAGTAGCAGTAGTCGTAGTTGTAGTAGTAGAAATTGTAGTAGTAGTAGTAGTCGAAGTAGTAGTAGTAGCAGCAGTAGAAATTGTATTAGTAGTAGTAGTAGTAGTAGCAGTAGAATTTGTAGTAGTAGTAGGAGTAATAGTAGTAGTAGTAGCAGTAGTAGTAGTAGTAGCGATCTAGTAGTAGTAGTAACAGTAGTAGTAGTAGAAATATTAGGGGTTGTATTGGTAAGAGTAATGATAGTAATAGTAGTCATAGTAGTAATAGCAGACGCAGTATTAGTCATGTAAGGTATTTGATTGTACAAGTAAATCAACTGATAAATGAATAGGTATTGTACATGAATCTATATTATGTTACTATTACTACTGTCTGCATTTATAAAAAAGGAAGGTGAGTAAGTTAAAGAAATAATTTGATTGTTGTTTCTTTTCATTATTATTATCATTATTATATGTCTCTTTCTCTTTCTCTCACTATTCTCATTATTCTTTGGCAATTTCACTCGATAAACTCCAAGATTAATGACATTCCTGTCTCTCATTGTTTATGAAATTCAAGAAAGAAAAACATGTTAACATTAGTTCAACAAATATCGAACCGATTCCCAACTGCCAACAGAACCGCCGTGGTTCGCCGTCAGGAGCCAGCGCCAACAGGTGGTCGTGGGTGCTACGGCGACGCTCACCTGCGAAGCCCATGGCGACATCCCGCTCAAGCTAGTGTGGACAAGGGACGGCGCCCCCCTGCCCGCGCTGCCAAGGTGAGGCGGGACTCCTGTCAAGGTTGATGAAAAAATGAAAATGTTTTCTTATAGGTTATATTATAATTATTATCATAATAGGAGTCTTATTTTCTGCGTGGATGAACATAGAAGTGACATAATATGACAGTAGACTATATCACGGCACATTATCATAGCAACATATATAACCGAAGGAGCTTTACCTCTTCCCTACGTCTGCATTTCAGCGAATCCCAAAATACACACACTGACTTGTACACATGGAAATGCCACTGTTTAGTATTTCTAATGTTATTATATTTCCCTTATTCCGTGGCTGTGTTTTCAGTTTGACAATATTACAGGTATGAGTTGTCAGAGCGGGAGGTTGATACAGGTCAGGTCACCGAGCTGGTGCTGAGGTCAACTCACGTAGGAGATTCCGGAACATACGTTTGTACTGCTACCAACACACATGGTTCTCTCACTGCCGATTTCCATCTCCTCGTGCAAGGTATTTCATCGACGGGAGTGGTTCAGATCTTAGTGAATTAAACAGTTACCGTTGCAGTAGTGGACAAAATGTATATAGTTATGAATGTACAACTTTTCTTCCCTTTTAGTTTTAAATTAGACCAAAGGTAAAAGAGGACAAGTCATTTCAAGATAATGCATTTATATTTAGCCTCATATTGGTCCACAGTAATCTTCTTAGTTATAATGGTAAATTGCATATGACCAAGGCTGTTAAAGCTATCATCCTTAAATACAGGTGTATCTTCATTGATTCATTAAAATTAGTTGTATACTCGAGTAATTAACCCAACGAAAATAGGTCGCAATTAGGTAATTAGTCATAAGATATAACCACCACCACCACAAAGTGAAGTATCCAAAACTAAATACAACGTCTTTCTGCTTTCCTTCTTCTCGCATTTTCTTCTCTTCCGCCCTCGCTCCTTCTGTAGATGTCCCAGGGCCCCCGTCAGGAGTGGGCGTGGAAGAAGAAGGATCTCGTCACCTGACCCTCACCTGGACGCCCCCTGAGGACTCCAATGCACCCATATCCGCCTACATCGTCACCTTCACGTCCCACGATAGCCAGCCCTCGCAAGGTTGGGAGAGAGGGCGGATGTGTGTATGTGAGAGAGTGGGAGAGGGAGAGAGAGGCAGAAGGAAGGGGGAGGGAGAGAGAGGGAGAGAGAGAGAGAGAGAGAGAGAGAGAGAGAGAGAGAGAGAGAGAGAGAGAGAGAGAGGGGGGAGGGGGGGAGAGAGGGGAGGGAGAGAGAGAAGGGAGAGGAGAGAGAGAGAGAGGAGAGAGAGAGAGAGAGAGAGGAGAGAGAGAGAGAGAGAGAGGAGAGAGAGAGAGAGAGAGAGAGAGAGGAGAGAGAGAGAGAGGAGAGAGAGAGAGAGAGAGAGAGAGAGAGAGAGGAGAGAGAGAGAGAGAGGAGAGAGAGAGAGAGAGAGAGGAGAGAGAGAGAGAGGAGAGAGAGAGAGAGAGAGAGAGAGAGAGAGGAGAGAGAGAGAGAGAGAGAGAGAGAGAGAGAGAGAGAGAGAGAGGAGAGAGAGAGAGAGAGAGAGGAGAGAGAGAGAGAGAGGAGAGAGAGAGAGAGAGAGAGGAGAGAGAGAGAGAGAGAGAGGAGAGAGAGAGAGAGAGAGAGAGAGAGAGGAGAGAGAGAGAGAGGAGAGAGAGAGAGAGGAGAGAGAGAGAGAGGAGAGAGAGAGAGAGGAGAGAGAGAGAGAGAGGAGAGAGAGAGAGAGGAGAGAGAGAGAGAGAGGAGAGAGAGAGAGAGAGAGGAGAGAGAGAGAGAGGAGAGAGAGAGAGAGAGAGAGAGGAGAGAGAGAGAGAGGAGAGAGAGAGAGAGAGAGAGAGGAGAGAGAGAGAGAGAGGAGAGAGAGAGAGAGGAGAGAGAGAGAGAGAGAGAGAGAGAGGAGAGAGAGAGAGAGAGAGAGAGGAGAGAGAGAGAGAGAGGAGAGAGAGAGAGAGAGAGAGAGGAGAGAGAGAGAGAGAGAGAGAGGAGAGAGAGAGAGAGGAGAGAGAGAGAGAGAGAGAGGAGAGAGAGAGAGAGGAGAGAGAGAGAGAGAGGAGAGAGAGAGAGAGGAGAGAGAGAGAGAGGAGAGAGAGAGAGAGGAGAGAGAGAGAGAGGAGAGAGAGAGAGAGGAGAGAGAGAGAGAGGAGAGAGAGAGAGAGGAGAGAGAGAGAGAGAGAGAGGAGAGAGAGAGAGAGGAGAGAGAGAGAGAGAGGAGAGAGAGAGAGAGGAGAGAGAGAGAGAGGAGAGAGAGAGAGAGAGAGGAGAGAGAGAGAGAGGAGAGAGAGAGAGAGGAGAGAGAGAGAGAGAGGAGAGAGAGAGAGAGGAGAGAGAGAGAGAGGAGAGAGAGAGAGAGAGGAGAGAGAGAGAGAGAGAGAGGAGAGAGAGAGAGAGAGAGAGAGAGGAGAGAGAGAGAGAGGAGAGAGAGAGAGAGGAGAGAGAGAGAGAGGAGAGAGAGAGAGAGAGGAGAGAGAGAGAGAGGAGAGAGAGAGAGAGAGAGAGAGGAGAGAGAGAGTCAAGAAAACAAAACAAATAAATCCACATCTCCAAATAAAAAACCCTTACCCCCCAGAGGGCTTGTTCGGTGCCCCCCGCGAAGTGACCGTAGAAGGCGACCAGAGACGCGTCCGAATCGAAGGTCTCCTGCCCGCTACGATGTACGTGTTCACGGTTGTGGCGGAGAACCGAGTTGGACGGAGCCAGCAGTCTTCGCCACTCAGGGTCAAGACGCAGGAAGAGGCCCCGTCAGGTCACCCGCAGAATGTCAGGGTATGGCAAAGGGCTTTCTTGATATTTTTTTTTTTAATTGCCTAATATAGATTTATATTCTGATATAGAATGTAGGATAAAGCATATTCTTGTTTTGAATTACAACAGAAAAATACAGACACATATGAGCGCACGTAGAAAGATTTGCACACATACTCAAATACGCACACACCACGCACGGAAATACTAACACATACAAGTGAAAATGAAAAGGGATGGAGTTGATTGTAAATCTGTAATTTATTAAAGGTGGTACCAGTGTCATCGACGGCGCTGCAAGTTAGCTGGGAACCGCCTCATGAGAACCTTACCCATGGCACTGTGCTTGGCTACTACTTGGGCTACAAGGATGACAGGTCAGTGATTTGCTTGTATGAGGTGTTTTTAGTCCTTATATGGATCTTTATTGACTTTCTATGGTTTTCTTGCGTGTGCTATGGATATGCAACTTCGGAGTTATATACGAGCTATTCACAAGTTTTGATTGGCCCGGCTAAAGTAAATGAAATCTGGGTTGTGTGCCCGTAGATTTATGGATTCGGCGCCACCATCCCGTAAACTTAACTTTCCCATTTTTTTTTAACCTTTTAATCCCTTTCCTCTTGCTAGTGAGTCCGAGGGCGGAGCATACAACTTCACCACCGTGGGCGTAGACAGCGTGGGCGTAACCACAGCCACGTTAGCGGGTCTTCGTCCTCACGCCCGCTATTCCGTCGTGCTCCAGGCTTTCAACTCTCGGGGTGCGGGTCCGGCCTCGCCCCCCGCACTGGGCACCACGCTCGAGGACAGTAAGTCACGTAGATTTTGGGAGAAAGTAGTGCCTAAGAATCGGATTTTTTTTTATAGTGTATGCGTCAGTGTATGTCTGTCCGTATATAGATGGACAGATAAATGTGAAAGGTTGTATGATGTCTTTGGAGTTTATTATTCGAAAATAACATAGTCTCGTGAATTACAATATACCTCCGTGAGCAAAAGTGTCAAAGCCCGCCTTTCGCCCGGCAGAACCTGGAGCACCACCTGGTCACGTGACCTGTGAAACGGTGACGTCATCAAGCGTGGTGGTGACGTGGTCGCCTCCTCCGCCTCGCCAAGCCAACGGCATAATCACTAACTACAGAGTCACTTACACGCAGATGTTTTCTCATGGTAAGTACGGAAATATGAATTAATTAACTGCAATCACTGAGCATACACAAAACTCTTATGATGTTGCTTAATCATATTTTGACTCATTAAAATTACTTATCATTTGCTGGCGGCGCTAGAACTGATTTGTACATCGACAGCGATTAAGCGAAGTATATCTTTAATTATACACATATATTCACACATACACACGCACACACACACACACACACACACACACACACACACACACACACACACACACACACACACACACACACACACACATACACACACACTAAACCCGCTCCTCCTATTCCAACAGAAGACGGTCGGACCGGCAGTGTAGTTTCCGAGGGCCTGCGAGCCACACTGACTGGTCTAAAACCCTGGACCAACTACAGCGTCAGTGTAGCTGCATCTACGAGGGCGGGTGAGGGCGTGCCGTCCCTTGCCCTCTTCTGCACTACAGAGCAGGATGGTATGCAGACCTTTTTTAAGCAGTCCCGTGTGGGTAGAGATGGAGATAAACTACCGTATGGGATTTATTCTTTTCACTGGGGCCGTTTTATTTCGTTAATGGGATTTTCATTATCTGTCAGTATTGGTTTATTGTTTTTATTCAAGATCTGATGTCATTCGGGTATCCTTATTCAAATATATTATCATTGTTGTTTCCCTTTTTATATTTGGTTTGCCTTTATAAAGGAAGGAACTGCCCTGTATTTTCCCCGTGATTCACAGACACAATATTTTATTTTCTTGGTATTTTATCCTCATTTCCATTCATCATTTACCCCTATTCTTTCATCTTTACGCACATTCTCTCCTTTTATCCTCATTTCTCCATTTATCCTTATCCTTCTCTTCCATCCACCAGTGCCTGAGGCTCCAGCCCGCGTGAAAGCCGTGGTGTCAGGCCCTCGCGCCGCCGTGGTGTCGTGGGCGCCGCCCTTACGCCCGCGAGGCCGCATCACGCGCTACACTGTGCACTGGGCGTCGGCAGGGAGTCGGAGCATGCCCCACACCCGCCGCGTCGGGCCCCACGTCACTCACTTGACCTTGCATGACCTTCCTCATACTACACATGAGGTGAGGACATTTTCTCTTTAGTATCACTTTTACGCTGGAAGGGATTTTGCGAGCGTAAATGAAAGGTTAGAAGGGACCTCGCTGGAATAATGAAATAGCCGGAGGAGGTAAATGAGATAGCCGCTGCAGTGTTTTTTGATATTAGAATTATGCCAGGAAGGCTTATGATGACGCTGTTGAAATGAAAAATGTTAGACTTATCACTTATCCGTTATACTAGTATCCGTTAGCGTTCATGTGATGCAGTTCTCGTGTCATTTTCAATATCATACAAGATTTTGTTGACACATATGAGAGTAAACGCTTGGGGATTTTTGTTCGTGCAGGTGTAAATGTAGTCTTTGATATTTCCAGTGTATTTTTCAAAAGTCGAGTCAGTATTTAACTCTCCTAGATAGTAAATGTATATAAAACCGACAAATGAAACATGATGAAGATCGACTTTACAATACAATCAAATCGAACGCATATCAGTAAAACAAACGTGCTATGATAAGAACCCATTACGGACTCGCTCTATAAAGAAAAGATAAATCAAGACAATTTTCTTTTGTAATCAATATACATGAATAAAGCTGACCCAACCTTTCTCCTCGCAGGTATGGGTCACAGCTTCGACGAGGATGGGTGAAGGACCGAAAAGTAGTGTTACGGTAGTTACTCCTTCTCATACAGGTAAGTTGTATGAGATTTCGACATACTTTTCTCCATTCTTCCATCTTGAGGAAATCTGGTAGAGGGAGTGATATGTTGTCTCTCCTTCGTATATTTGTGTTGAATAAAGATAATTGATTGACCTTCTTCCGCTAAAGTTCGTTTGTTGTGAACAGGAGGACGGTTATAGGGTATATTCATTGTCATTGAAGTTCGTTCAGCGTAAAAATAACGTGAAATTCAAATCTAACATCGGTAAAAAAAAAAACACGGTTTATGGCTAATAAAAAGTAGAATTATCATAAATCTAAATCTCGATGGAATTTATGGCTTGTAACTGAAGGACGAAAGCACTAACAGCCCCTTTATAAACATATTGCCAAATAGAATACAAACTACAACCGACGGACCTACAATAAAATGATAGTTTATAATTCAAAGACATAAACAAACGAAATCTATAGGTACCTGTATTTTCACCACACTATTTTCTCTCCCCTCACCTCCTTCCACCTCCCCCCCCATACCCATTTCCACTTCCACTTCCACCTTCCCCCTACTACCTCCTTCTCCCCCACCCCCGTCTCCACCTCTGCCTCCTCTCCCGCTCTCACCTCCACTTCAACCCCCCGCCCCCGTCCCCACCTCAACCCTCACCTCCACCTCCACCTATTCCCCCACCTCCACTTTCATCTCCACCTTCACATCCATACCCACAATCACTTCCACCTCCACCTCCACCTAATCCCCCATCCCCACCTCTACCCTCACCTCCACCTCTTCCCCCCCCCCCCCCCCCCACCTCCATCCCCACCTCCACCCCTTCCTCACCCCCCCCCCCTCCATCTCCATACCTACCCCTCTCAGTGGGCGCGGGCATATGGGCGGTGGGCGGGAACCTGACGGCGGCGTGGAAAGAGGACGTGAGCTTGCCCTGCGGAGCCGTGGGCGTCCCTGAGCCCGTGCTTACCTGGAGTCACGAGACACTCCACATTCCTGACTCGCACTCCAGGTGAGTTATATTACTGTTGACTCTTTTCCTTTGAATTGAGAGTTGTATTAAATCGCAGTAATGATTATTTATCCATATTAAGAATAGAAGAGAAAGAATGATGATAGTGATAATGATAATAAGAATTATGATAATAGTGATAAGAAGAAGAAAAAGAACAATGATAATCATAATGATGGTGATGATAATGAAGATAAAAATGATGATTATATCAAAATGATAATAATTATTATAATATTGATAAAAGTAATAACAACATCAACAGGAGTAACAACAACAACAACAACAATATGAATGATAATAATAATAATAATAATAATAATAATAATAATAATAATAAAAATGATGATAATAATAATAATGATAATAATGATAATAATAATAATAATAATAATAATAATAATGATAATAATAATAATAATAACAATAATAATAATAATGATAACATTAATAATAATAATAATAATAACAACAGCAACAACAATAAAAACAACAACAACAACAATAAAAACAACAACAACAACAATAACCTCTCCAACAAAAGAAAAACACCGAAGAACACCGAAAAAAAAATAAATAAATTCCTCAACCGAAGAGCTGACCGACGCCCTTCCCTCAGCAGGTTCACGGTGCAGCCCGACGGCACCCTCACCCTCACCGACATCCAGCGGAGCGACAGCGGCCAGTACACGTGCACCGCCTCGAACCACCACGGCGTCGACTCCGTTACTTATAACCTCACCGTCCTTGGTTAGTTGTGTTTGTTTGTTTGTGTGGGGTGTGGGTGTGGGTATGGGTGTGGGTGTGGGTATGGGTGTGGGTGTGGGTGTGGGTTTGGGTGTGGGTATGGGTGTGGGTGTGAGTATGGGTGTGTATGTGTGTGGAGGGAAGGGGTGGATGTGTGTGTGTGTGTGTGTGTGTGTGTGTGTGTGTGTGTGTGTGTGTGTGTGTGTGTGTGTGTGTGTGTGTGTTCGGGTAGGTGTATATGCGTGGCCAAATCAATAGATAGACAGACACTAGAGATCTCTTTTTTTTAAATCTCATTACGTACGTAAGCTACCTCTCAACTACCTCTAACCTAAAGATATAGTCCCTGAACCGTAATCCACTCTACCTCCCAAATACACTAGTACGCATCCTACAATAAAAAAAAGGTAAAAAAAAAAATCATAACTAAAAAAAAAAAAAAAAAAACGCATCAATAACCTCTTACATAACGTCTTTACCTTCATTTCGGTGGTCCTTCTGCAGTGCCTCCGTCAGCGCCTTCCCTCCACGTGACCGAGACGACGGCCTCCTCCATCCGGGTGCAGTGGAGTGTGGAGGACACGGGCGGCGCTTCCCTCCAGGGCGCCACGCTGCACTACAGGTAGGGCGGGGGCGCAGGCGTGGGCGTGGGCGTGGGCGAAATCGTGGACCATTGGGGAGGAAGGGGGGAGGTTTGTGTGTGTTGAGTAGTTTTTTTGTTTTTTGTTTTTTTTAAGGGGGGGAGGGAGGGCTTCATTTGCAGTGTGATTCATTTTCGTTTTATATTTTCTCCGATTTTTCTTTTTTTTTTTATTGAGTTTCTTTTTCGTTTTTTTTCTGGTTAATTTTATTCTCTTTTCTCTTCTTTCTGCCTTTCGTCTTTTCATTTTTTTCTGAAGTTCCTTATTTATTCTTGTCTTCTTCTTTTATTTTACTTCTTCTCTACCTTTCTGCTTTCTCTTCTCTCTTCTTTCCTTCTTCCCTTTCTTCCTTTTTTTTCGTTATATCTTATATTTTATTTTTATTTTTATTTTCTTATTTCTAATTCTATTACTTCATGGTAAAAATCAAAATTCAGTTTCTTGCTTCGATTATGAAAAAAATATATATATATTTTATCATCTATGATAAGTAATCAGTGTTTTGCTTTGGTGTTCATATCTGCAATTTTGATTATATCCGGTCATCCAACAAACAAAACATATTTCTTAATTTAAACATCGCCATTTTTTTTCGTTTATTACCGTCATCCAATTTTTTTTTAACATTTTTAAAACATTAAGCATGTAAACTTCATCAACCGAAGGAGAGTAAAGGATTAAACATAGATAAATAACTTTAACAACAAATAATATTTTAGTACTTTCTTAGTATTTAGTATTTTCGACATCTCTCACCTTCATTCACTTCTGTCTAGTTATTCTGTTTCTTTCTATTGATTCCACCTCCTTCTCGTTTTTCTTTCTCTTCAACCACTCACAATCAACAAACTTTTTTTTTATCATTATCATCCACTTTCCGCAGATCCGCCGGTGGAGAGTGGATGACGGCGGAAGTGGAAGGATCCCACCGCGCCTACACCGCCAAGGGCCTCCGCTGTGGCACCCTCCACCACTTCTATCTCACGGCGCATAATCATATTGGTAAGCTTGTGGTGCGAATAGTGACCGGTTTGTGGTGCGAATAGTGGCTGGTTTGTGGTGCGAATAGTGGCTGGTTTGTGGTGCGAATTAGAAGGGGTTGTTTATATGTGTGGGAATCGATTGGAAATATTTGGGAATTAGGAATTTTGGATGACTTTGCGGGAATAAACTGTTAGGAGAATATGGTCCTGATGATGAGTGTGATGTGATTGATAATGATGATATTAAAAATGATAATAATAATGATGATAATAATGATAATAATAATAATGATAATAATAATAATAATAATAATAATAATAATAATAATAATAATAATGATAATAATAATAATAATAATAATAATAATAATAATAATAATAATAATAATAATAAGGATAACAATAATGATGGTGGTAATGATAATAGTAAATATTGATAATGAAAATAGTAATAATAATAATATTAATAATAATTATCATTATTATCATTATAGTGATAACAATAGTAAAGCTAATAATGAAAATATTGATAAAGGAAAGACGTTTCCTTTCGCGAACAAAATACAATTTAGTGTTCCGATTCATTACTAACTCTCTTTCTTCCTTTTTCTCCCTTTCTCTGTTATCCTCTTCATCGTCGTTGGCTTCATCCTTCTCCTTCTCCCTCTCCTCCCTTCTCTCTCCCGTCGTCTCTTCCCCCATCCGCCCTTCTTTCCTTCATTCCCTCCCTTCATTCTTTCCTTCCTTCCTTATACATCCACCCACCCACCCACTCTCCTTCTCCTCCTCCCCCTCTTCCTCTTTTTCTCCCTCACTCCCTCCCTCTCCCCTCGGTCCTCCTCCTCTCACCCCAACTTCCTACCCCTCCTCCTCCCTCCATTCCTTCTTCCTTCCTCCCTCCCACTTCCTCCTCTCCTCCCACTTCCTCCTCCTCCTCCCACCCTCCCTCCCTCCCTTCCCCACCTCCCTCCTTTCCCCACCTTCCTCCCCCTACCTCCCCCCCCCACCAGGTACCAGCACAGCGTCGTCGACCGTGGAAGCGCGCACGAAGGGGCGTCCCCCCGAGGCTCCCCCCCAGTTCCAGTTCGTGACGAGCAACAGTTCCCAAGCCACGCTGTACTTGGCCCAGTGGAGCGACGGAGGCTGCCCCATCTCACACTACTCCGTGCAGTACCGTCTGGCTGGCATGGCGCACTGGACCACGGGTGAGTGTTGGGGTCGGTGGGTGGGAGGAGGGGGTGGGAGTGGGGGTATGAGGAGAGGAGGTGGAAGGAGAAGGGGTGGGAGAGGAATAGGGGCGAGGGAGGTAGAGGAGGGGTGAGAGAGGGTAGAGATAGAGAGAAGGAAGGAGAATGAGGATGGGAGGGAGAAAAGGGGATAAAAAGAGTGTTTGGAGAGAGAGAGAGAGAGAGAGAGAGAGAGAGAGAGAGAGAGAGAGAGAGAGAGAGAGAGAGAGATTGGCAGATAGATAGGTAGAATAATAGAGAGGGTGAGAGAGAAAAAAAGAAAGAAAAGAGTGAAACAAAGGGAAAGACGAAAACAGACAAACAAACAAAGCAACAGAAAGACAGACCCGCATGACCCCCTAAAAAGCCCCCCACACCCCACCCGCCCACCTCCTGACCCCGCCCGATCTTCGCAGTGGGCAGCGAGATCCCCCCGAGCCGGACGTACGCGGTGGGCGGGCTGGACGCGGGCGAGCGGTACGAGCTGCGAGTCACTGCCTTCAACTCCGCGGGCGCCGCCCCCGCCCACTACAAGGTCATCACGCCGGGCCGCGGAGGCACAGGTGTGTGGCTGGTTGCTGTGTGGACTCTTGTTCTTCTTCTTCTTTTTTTTTTCTTCTTCTTCTTCTTCTTTTTCTTCTTCTTCTTCTTTTCTTTTTCTTCTTCTTCTTCTCCTTCTTCTTCTCCTTCTTCTTCCTTTTCTTCTTCTTCTTCTTCTTCTTCTTCTTCTTCTTTTCTTTTTTTTCTTCTTCTTTTTCTTTTTCTTCTTCTTCTTCTTCTTCTTCTTTTTCTTCTTCTTCTTCTTTTCTTTTTCTTCTTCTTCTTCTTCTCCTTCTTCTTCTCCTTCTTCTTCTCCTTCTTCTTCCTTTTCTACTTCTTCTTCTTCTTCTTCTTCTTCTTCTTTTTTCTTCTCCTTTTTTCTACTTCTTCTTCTTCATCTTTTTCTACTTATCCTTCTTCTTCTTCTTTTCTTTTTCTTCTCTTCTTCTTCTTCTTCTTCTTCTGCTTCTCTTCTTCTTTTCCTTTTCCTTCTTCTTCTTTTTCTTTTTCTTTTTCTTTTTCTTTTTCTTTTTTTTCTTTTTCTCTTTCTTTTTTCTTCTTTTTCTTCTTCTTCTTCACCTTCTTTTCTTCTTTTTCTTTTCCTTCTTCTTCTTCTTCTTTTTCTTCTCCTTCTTCTTCCTCTTCCTCTTCTTCTTCTTCTTCTTCTTCTTCTTCTTCTTCTTCCTCTTCCTCTTTTTCTTCTTCTACTTCTTTTTCTTCCTTTTCTTTTTCTTTTTCTTTTCTTTTTATTTTTCCTTTCTTCTTCAGCTTTACTTTTGAACCCTTATGGTGTATTTCGTGATATGTATAAAGAAGCAAAATAAAATAACACTGACAGAATCAGAATCCGAAAAAAATAATAATTAAAAAAACAGTAATAAAAAACAAGTAACATGAAAAAAAACAGTAATAAAAAAACAAGTAACATAAAAAAAAAAAAAAAAAAAAAAAAAAAAAAAAAAAAAACAGAAAGAAACATAACAAAACCCGCATTAAAAACGCCCCCTTTCAGGCATGGGCGTGAGCGCAGGGGGAGGAGTGTGGGGGGGAGCCGCCCCCGCCTCCCCCGTGTGGCGCGACCCCCGAGTGCTGGTTCCCGCCGCCGTGTCCGCCCTGGCGCTGCTGCTCACCGTCACCACCGTCTGCGTCTGCCTCAGGAGACGTAAGACATGATAACAATAATAAGATAATAGGATAATAAGATGATAAGAAATAAGAATAAGGATGATAATAATAAGAAGAAGATGATAAGAATAATAGGATGATAAGAATAAGATGATAAGGATAATAAGATGATAAGAACAAGATGATAAGAATAAGATGATAAGAATAAAAATATGAGAGGAATAATAGGATGATAAGAAGAAGAGGAATGATAAGATGATAAGAATAATACAATGACAAGAATAATGTGATGATAAGAATAAGATGATAAGAATAATAAGATGATAAAGCGGGTGATAAGAATATGTGGATAGATAGATGAAGCAACATAGGTTATCAAGATGGTTTAAACGTTAATAGAAATTTTAAAGAAAATTGTGATTATAAAGAGGACGGGTGGGTTTGATTTGATGAAATGAGGATTATGTAAAAGGGGCTTGTGATGTTATAAAGGTTTTTAATGGGATTCGGATAAATGGGTGTGATTTGGCTGTTAAGGAAAGGGATTCAAAACCATTGATATTTGCCTAATCGCAGGTTTTGATGTAGAAGATTTTTTTCTATTTAGGTGTTCATGTTCATTGCAAAAAATAGTTGCTTTTCCATTGAAGAGTTATAAAGAGTAAGTTTTTTTTTTATTTAAGGGTAATAAATACGTATTTTTCCTCACCTGTTGATTCCTCTGCCGCAGGTCCTACCAATACCCCGCGCCAGAAGGAGGTTCCTGAAGGCGTCACTTCGTCAGGAGAGGAGAAGACGGCCATGCAGGCGAGGGAGGACGTGTACACCACCGTCAGGAGGCCGCCCCCCGCCCCCCCGCAGTCCACGCCCGAACTCAGGGACCATAACGGTAAGTGATGGCATCCTGAGTGGTGACGTCATTTGGAAGATTATGTCCTTGGTGATGACGTCATTGTGAAACCCGTGTTTTTGGTGATGACGTCATTGTGAAACGTGTGTCCTGAGGGATGTGTCCTGGATGATTCTGTTGCCAAAACGATAACGTCACTGTGACCTGGTGATGACGTCATGGCCCCTGCCTGATTAATGACAGTAAGATTTTGTTTTCTTTTAATGTCTCCTAATGAAACTTTTTTTCAAATTTATCAGGATGTTGTGCTTATGTATGTGAGAAAAAAGGTGTGTGTGTGTGTGTGAAATTTATGTATGTAAATCATGTATTTATATCCATGTATACTTACAAACATATACATGTTTACGTCTAATTGTATAAAGATAGACACGTATTAATAAAGTCATAACTACATTAATATACACCCTTACTTCACCATCAAACTACATTGGGGAAGAACATAACTTAGGTGAAATAATCCCTCCAAATCCATAGGTTAATTTCCACACCATAACCCCACATGAAGAGAAGTAAAGACTTGAACCCCCTATAGTCAGCTAGCAACCCCAAAGGACAAGTTGACCCATCTAGATCAGGAGACTTCAGCCCACTTACCCCCCCCCCTTAGCTCTCACCCTCAGAGGTCACCTTGAGTGCCCCCGCCTGGCCTCCAAGTAACCCCTATAACCACTACACAGGCGAGTACAGTGAGGAAGACATCTACCCGTACGCCACAGCCACGTTCCAGCTGGGCGGAGGCAGCCCCCCGCCGCCCGCGCCGCCCTCGCCGCCCTCGCACTCGCGCCCGCACTCCCGGGGACAGAACGGCTTCACGGCCCTGGTCTACCAAGCGCCGTCGCTGCATGACGTGGACTCGCCCAACTTAGTAAGTCGGTCGTTGACGCCCCTGTCCCTCTCTTTTGCAGAGAAAAGAGTACGGATGGGCGCCCACGCCATTAAGCGGGTGGCCACGGCGCTCATCACGGATTCGCTCGGGGCTGAGCCCTCGGCGGAGCCCGGTCCCCCCGAGGGACGCAGCCACGAGGCCTCGGAGCGTGCCAGCCCCGGGGACAGCCAGGTATTCACTGCCGAGCATCCGAGCGGAGAGCGTGCTGGGGAAAGCTCTTACTCAGCCTCCATGGCGGGAAATCTCTCTCGAAGATCACCAGAGTGGCCAGGGCTCAATCGCCGTCTCTGAGATTGCAAGGCTGACGCTAAACCGCTCGGGTTCCGACCGAGACCAATGTGCAAAGCAGAATCATGTTAAAGTAGCAATGTCAGTGGGAAACTGACAGTTTTTCACTGTGTACAGCGTCGAAGCGTGGACCTTTTTCATTCAGGCCTAATGTAGTTGGGACGCTTGTTCTTATTCTGTTCAAAGGCAGTAGTCCGTGGTTTTCATACACTACGAACTTAACACTTCATTGCCGTCTGACCGATAGACTCGCATGGCGCTTCTCCTCCTCACAAAACGCCATCACAACTCCTTTTCAGATTCCATGCGATCATTCCAACTTGTCTCGATCATTGGAAAATCCGACCTTAAAGACTTGAAGTAAAATCACAGAACAAACAAAGATGCTTTTCTCGTGTGACGTCACTTGTGCACCAGAACGAGCGAGTGTGCCGTGCTCACTTGGGTGACGTCACTGTCGTCCCGTTCCCTCCTCCACCCTGCGGCACTTACCTGGCCCTTTGCTATACCTGTTCGTTCGGCCCTGGCACGTGTACCCTTTTTAACCCTTTTATCTCCTGTGACCCTAGCATTTGATTTAGACCTTATCCGTTACTTATCTGTTTGGTCATAGCACTTCTACCTAATCAGTGGATCTTATCAGTGGCTAAATAGCTTATTGGTCACCCTCGCATATACAGCTGGCATTCTCTTTACACTCTGTTCACGTGTTATATCAGGTAGTTGTTTTATCTTTACGTGTTAGATTAAAGTCTCGAGCTAAGACATTTTTCTTCAGATTTTTTTTCTCTCTCCGTGTATTAGAAGGCTTTAGATACAGTACGTGCTAGTGTAAACATTTTCGCTACTTACCTCTCCATATCAAATCACGATATATTGCTTTTCTCCCTCCTGTGCTATAGATTCTTATCAAAATCTTAATGTCTTCGTATCAAAGTGTTTCTGGATGTCTGTTTCCAAATATGTACACAAAAGATTAATATTCTAATTGGCACTTTTCAGACAACGAAACCAAAAAAATTCAAACACCATTCAGTGTCATGGCTTCCTCTCTTCTCTTTTTCTCTATCTTTCTGTTTATTCATCTCTATATCTATTCATCTTTGTCTATCTGTCTACTTATTTATCTGTATATTTGTTTATCTCTGTCTCTCCGTCGATCTATCTGTCTATATTTCCATCTATCTACGTACTGATTATCTGTCCTTATATCTATCTGTCTCTCTGCAAAAGTAATCTATCTATCCATCTCTCTCTCTTTCTCTCTTTCTCTCTCTCTCTCTCTCTCTATCTATCTATCTATCTATCTATCTATCTATCTATCTCTCTCTCTCTTTCTCTCTCTCTTTCTCTCTCTCCCTCTCCCTCTCCCTCTCCCTCTCCCTCTCTCCCCTCTCCATCTCCCTCCCCCTTCCCCTCTCACACTCTCTATCTATATATCTATCTATCTATCTCTAACACATTTTCTCCCTCTCTTCCCTCTCACTTTTCCTCATCTGCGCCTTATACCTCTCCCCCTCCTTCCTTCGCCTTTCCCCTCTCCCTCCCTCCTTCGCCCTCCCCATCTTCCCTCCTTTTCTCCTTCCCTCCCTCCCCCTCCTTTACCCTCCCTCCTTCTCCCTCCCCCTCCCCCCCTCCTTCCTTCACCCTCCCTCCTTCACCCTCCCCCTCCCCCCCCCTCCTTCTTTCACCCTCACCCTCCCCCCTCCCTCCTTCTCCCTCCCTCCTTCACCCTCCCTCCTTCACCCTCCCCTTCCCCCCTCCCCCTCCCCCTCCCCCCTCCCTCCATCACTCTCCCCCCCTTTCCTCCCCCCTCCCTCCCTCCCCATCTCGACAATCTCGTGAGCGCTCTCCCCCTCTCCTCCAGCCCCCATTCACCTCCGTGTCCCCCGTTCTCCCCCCCAGAGCGAGAGGGAGTCCAGGCAGTCCCGCGGAGGATTCCCCTACGAAGGATCCGAGACTGAAGACTACGGCAGTGTGTTGGACGCCGAGGCCAGGGTCCCCCCCCACCACCGCCGACAGCGCCATCTGAGGACCAGTAGGTTTGTCGCTCAACCCCATGGTGTCTCATCTTCATTCTTGCTGTCATTTTTAAACTTTTTTTATTTTAGTTTATTGTTTTTTTTTTTTTTTTTTTTTTTTTTTTTTGGGGGGGGGGGTTGTGAGGAGGATGTTTTGTGGGATTTTTTTTTTCGTTTTATTTTGCGGGGAAGGGGGGGGGGAGGTGTACGTGAGGGGGGGATGTTTATTTTTTTTTTCGGAGGAAGGTCGCTCTTGTCTGTTCTGCATTATTTTTTTTTTTTTTAGTTTTGTATAGTTTTTTTTCGGAGGAAGGTCGTTCTTGTCTCTTCTGCATTATTTTTTTTTTTTAGTTTTGTATAGTTTTTTTTTCAAAATTTAGTAAATGATTGTTCTAGGATTGTTTTAGTCTAACCAGTAATATTAAGAGCAATATTGAAATGGTCATACAAGAGATCATACAGTATGATTCACTCACCAAATTTATTGTTTTTATTTGAATTTATTACTGAGATTTATTTGAATCTGCTAATCCTTTCTTATATTTAGTCTGATTCTGCTTATTACCGTCTATTTCCATGTTTAATTGTCATTATGGATCAACTTGATTTATTTTCTGGATCAACCTAGTTTGCCTTCCTTCCCTATTTCTTTCCTTTTTCTCCTTTTCTTCCCTCTACATTTTACACTTAATTATCCGTTCTTTCTTTTCATCTTTTTTTTTAATTCTGGTTCTCTCTTACAGTTTATGTCGTTATTTCGTTTCATTTCATTACGTCTTATCACATACTTGGCGTTTCTCTTTCGTCCACATAAACATGTATTTTCGTTCACCTTGTCTCATTTTTCTTCCCTTTAACATGTATTCCAAATGGCTTATCTTCACTTTATCCTATTTTCTCATCCATCAATTCGCATTCGAAATCTACACAATGTACACCGTATTTTATCTCCATCGTAATTAATATCCCGCTAAACATATCACTGTATATCATTATGTCGTAAACCGAGCATATTTGAATTTATCTTTACTTCCTGTTTATTCATTTATTTTTAATTTATTTATTTTTTTTTTTATTTATTTAGCTTTTTTTGCAGTGCCATTGTAGCGTAGAAAGACTTAAATTATTTCACTGGCTCTATCTTAAAGTTAAAATTTGATTAAATCCTACTTTCTGTAATTTGATAAACACCTTCAAATTTCTGCTTATTTTCTGTATCATAAGAACCTGTATATAGGGGGAATGTAGCACAGTTCTTTACTTATTATATTGCACGCTGGAAAGGCTAAATATTAAGGTTTTACGTATTACATTTGATTTTATCGATCAGTCATTTACACAACCAGTAACAAACTAATGATCATTCACTAGTATAAAAACAGCATAAACCCAAAATTAGCATACGGACATATTCCAAAACCTAACATAAAATTTTACATACAATAGATTTCAAAATTCGCATTTATTTTCAAGAAAACAAAACTAAAGCAGTCTCTCCTTTATCTAAAACCAAACAACCTCTCGTTCTCCTAACAAATAAATAAGACATTTTTTTTGTTTTTTTGTCGTTATTGTTATTATTACCGTTCCTTACACATTAATCTCCCACAGGATCATTCATCTCGTTCTCCTAGCAAACAGATAGGATGTTTTATTGTTGTTGTTATTGCTCTTTCTTCCACGTTCCTCTCCCGCAGGAACGTTCTTCTCGTTCTCCTAAGCAAACAGATAGGACGTTTTTTTATTGTTGTTGTTATTGTTATTGCTGTTTCTTCCACGTTCCTCTCCCGCAGGATCATTCTACTACTCGTTCTCCTTCTCCCACAGGATCCCCCGCAATGTCAGGTTCCCCTAAGCTACGACGCCCTCTTCCCCAGCACCTTCACCAGCACACACTACGACCAGCCCGACATCCAAGGTAATGGGAGGAGGACGGAGGGAGGGATGGGGGAAGGGAGGGAAAAAGGGAGGGAGGGAGGGAGGGAGGGAGAATGGTGAAAGGGAGGGATGGGGGAAGGGAGGGAAAAAGGGAGGGAGGGAGGGAGGGATGGAGGATGGAGGGAGGGATGGGGGAAGGGAGGGGAAAAGGGAGGGAGGGAGGGAGGGAGGATGGTGAAAGGGAGGGATGGGGGAAGGGAGGGTAGGGGAGAAGGAGGGAGGGATGGTGGAAGGAAGGGAAAGAGGAAGTAAAGGAGGGAAGGAGGGAGTGAGAAGAAAAGAGGTAGGTAGGAGAGAAGAAGGGAGGGAGGAGAGAAGGAGTATAGGACGGAAGGAGGAGAAAGGAAGGAAGGAAAGAGGGAGGATGAAAGAAGGGACGGAGAGAAGGAGGAGAAATGATGGGAGGAGAGTGGGGGTTTGGGAGAGGAGAGGGGTAGGGGGAGGGGGAGGGAGGGAGTTGTGAAAGGAAGGATTCGAGTGGTGAAGGATAGAGGGAGGGAAAAGGTGGAGAGAAGGGAAGGAGGATGAGAAAGAGAGGGAGGGAGAGAGGAAAAAATGGAGGGAGGAAGGTGGGCCTTGGGTGGGGGGGAGGCGGAAGGAGAGAGGAAGAAAATATCTGGGAGGAAGAGAAGGAGAGAAAGAAGGGGGAAGAATGGGAGTTGGGAACAAAAAGAAAGAGGGTGCAGAGGAGGAAAGGGAAGGAAGAGAGTTGGGGAAGAAAGGAATGAAGAAGGAAAGGGAAAGAAAGAGACACAGAGAGACACGATTTCAAGTTCTTACCATTTTCCCCTTTCTCCCCCATCCAGGCAGTGATTGGGCACCGCGCAACAGAGGAGTCATCAGCCCCCCACCCCCCCTTCGGTTTCCTCTCCGGCTCCCCAAGAAGACTACTTAAGACCTAAGAAATCTCCTTAGAAAACCAACTCCATTGTGTCGTCGTCCTAACTTGTTTGAGAAGATGGAAGATAAACAAAGGAATCAAAATACCATGTCTTTATGTTGCGTGATATCTAATAATCTAATAACTTGTTTTTTTTTCTCTCT